CAGCCCAAAACACAATAGTAATTTTCATACACAGTGTGTGGTGCGTGAGTCAAGCAAATGGCGCCTCTTATATTTACAAACAGAAGGAGTGGCTGCAGAAGAGGCTTAAAGAAAAGGCTAATCCTGGAGCTTTGATGTATTAGCTTAAACTTGGGTAATGAATGGGAGGCGTGGTGCGGTGTCATGGATGAGAAAACGATCTGGTATTTTCGGTGAGGAACGAGGAAGGAGACTGAAAAGATACTGTCTGAAACGAATAAAATGAAGGCATGTAAATGAAACCATTTTGGTGATACAGTACATACAAGGTCAATGATAAAGTAGTGCATTTAGATTATTATTATGTTTTCTCTCCCCCAATTCTGAAATTTTATAAACAAAAAAACCTCTCTTTGCTCAAAATCTCTCTGTATGTTTAACTAAGAGAATTAATAGGCAAGGTTGACAATATACACAATCATTGCAATCAAATCAAAATCGCAATTTAACTTCTAATTTGTGCAGCCCTAAAATAAATTCACAATTATACGGATAATTATAGCTAGTACAAATCTATAAATCAATACAAGCACATGAGTTAAGAAGAGTTTATGATCTTTGGCTGATGTATGTCATTTAGTGTAGTCACATGGAGCTGAGGGTGAGGAGGTGTGTCCAGTATCCAGTGCAGGCTCTAGTGACCTAAAGATTAATTTCACTGATGCTATGAATACACAAAGCTGACCACAGCGTACATGAGGACGCTAATAGGATCTAATACTGACCAGGTCTGACGTCTGCTCATGCTGCATATGACAATGAAATCATGAGTACTGCGTGAGAAGAGGTCCCATTTTTAGATACAATTTTAGGTCATGTTTATTAGAAAAAAAGAAAAATAGTTTATAGAAAACCTAACCAAAAATTATAAAGAGGAAATAAAAGAGGAATTAGTTTACAGAGACATTAATACCTATACAAAAATGCTATAATATGTAACTAGATTCAAATATGTTAGTTATAAAATGTGTAAAAATGACTTGGCAACTTTTTAAAAATATTGGCACACAAAAATATTAAAATAATTTACTGATTGCTATTAAAAAATGTAATATATGTGTCCCCTATATCTACAATTATACAGAATTAGTATTGAATCTAATAATGGTTGTATTTAGACCCTTGCTTTCTATATAAAATTAACACATTTAGTCCATTTAGTTATATCGTTTTGTTTTGTTATATTCTTTTCAGGTGTCTGTTTTATACTCGCCAAATTTATTTCCACTATTCATAAGTATAATAAACGTATAACATCTCAAACTAATCCTGACTTTCTTTTTCTTTACAGTATCCTCCTGGTAGCGGTGGCCATCTTCTCTCTATACTCTGTGCACTTACTGCTAAAAACTGCCAATGAAGGAGGTAAGTCACTCTCATAAAAACTACAAATCCCATCTTATTTCCCAGTGGTATTTTAAACATGGATGAACTAATGCTGCATCTAGTAACGTATTGCTCTTGTTGCTGTTTCTTCTTTTTTTAAGGGGCTCTTGTGTACGAACAACTTGGGTACAAAGCGTTCGGAATGCCTGGAAAACTTGCTGCTTCTTGCTCCATCACTATGCAGAACATTGGAGGTGAGAGGAAAAATAAAAAGCCAAAAGATTGTTACGTAACTGTAATTTAATTAGTTATTACATCGCTTAGTATTCAAAACAATGCGTCTTCAGTGTCCTGTGCCAGACCGTGTACCCACTATGGAAATTAAAGGGGAGTTTTTCCAGTGGGGGCCGCGCAATGAGAGAGAAACAGGAAAAGCTAATTTAATGTTTGACGTCAGTTAGTAACGAGACCGCGACTTTGGCTCAAATTTAAAGGTGTTTTTGTTCCACAGCCATGTCCAGCTACCTCTTCATTGTCAAGTATGAGCTGCCACTGGTGATCAAGGCATTCATAGGAACGAGCAATGAGTAAGTCACCGCCTATACACATTTAATGCAATCACTACACCAAATATTCAATACAAAACTCAAGAAAACAAACAAAACAGGTTGCCAAATAGTTTTTAGGAAGTGGGTATGACATTGCGACAAGAATGTACAGCTGTAGCTAAAGGCCATCATAACAATTGTATTACCCCCCATGCTTTCTTATTATTAACCTGCATATTCTAATCTAATATAGAATCCAAACTAGTCTCACGATAGATAAAACAGGCTTTTCAGTGTTAACAGAGCCACTCTAGACACAGTTGCTGGGCAAAATGGAGCTTGGCTGTTTATCAAGTGGTTCGTGTCTGAAGGTTAGATGCTGAGTGCTCGTCCTTGTGCTGAGAGGAGGAGAGAGATGGAGGGAGAGAGGGGGAGGCATTTGGACTTAAAGAACAAAAAGTCCAGGTTCAAAGAGGGATTTATGTCTGTTGCAGCTGCTCAGAGAAAGACAGAGATGAGGAGACGAGGTCAAGTTTCAATAATGTATGTTTGGATTGAGTGGTTTCCGAGGGTCTATTTTTGTGTGGCAATACAGTGTCGGCGTATGATGTGTCGTGGGGGATCCAGACAGACGTGATCAGATTTCAAAATAGATATTAGAAAATATAAGAAAGTGTAGCTCTTGTGGTCTATGGAGTAAATGCAGTGTCACAACAGGCTTAGATCTATTCATTTTTACGACATTTTTGCTGTGTAATATTTGAAGACATCATAATAAAGTAAAATGTTGTTTAATTTGGTGTCGTGCCTAGAAATGACCGTGCCTTTAAATGCATTTTATCTGATTTTATTTTACAGTGAATGGTACACTAACGGAGACTACCTTGTCCTGATTGTATCTCTTGTGATCATCCTGCCTCTTTCTCTCCTCAAAAATCTCGGTAAATAATTTCCAAACATTAAAAATAATCTTTAAAATGTTAATATAATATAAATAAACTACCAGACATTACCTAAGACCTACTCACAGTCATTTAAACATTAGTCATTCATTTTGTGTTTTTTTTTGTACAGGTTACCTTGGTTACACGAGTGGGCTGTCCCTCCTCTGCATGGTCTTCTTCCTGATTGTGGTGAGTTTCCTTAAAAAATAAAAAAACAAAAATAGTTACTTACTTTGGAGGCAATACTTGGCACATGATCATTTGTCATGACATTTGTTAACTTATTTCCATGTGATTTTTTTGAATATCCTCTGACTACTCAAAACAACAGAAAATACTTGTATGGTTATACTGTAACTATAGCAAGCAAATGTAAACTACTCATACAACTCACAAGAACAACTAGTTTTCTTTGAGCCTATTTTTTCTTATTATTCTAAGCAAACTTGCAGCCCTTATGTTTTAAATTTAAATTATTATCAATTCACTAGTTACTTAATTGATAACAGACTCAAATTTCTTGTGTTTTTGCTGAGGTCTACAAAACGTTTACTCACTGTAATGTTTGTAATGATTTTGTTTATTTTGTCATTTTTAGGTGATAATAAAGAAGTTCCAGATCCCGTGCCCGCTCCTGCCGATGGACGACGAAATGGTGAATGAGACTTTGAGTAGAGTTTATCATGCTACTCAAAGTCATCTGAACAGTACGTTCCCACACTTCAACCACACCACCAAGGACGACGAGGATGTCTGCACGCCCAAATATTTCGTCATCAACTCTCAGGTATAGAACCAGATCTTAAAATAACTATTTACTTCAAATTATGAATAAAAATAAAATCAGAAATCAAATTGTTTTATTTTTTGGATCACAGACTGTGTACGCTGTGCCCATCCTGACCTTTGCCTTCGTGTGCCATCCCGCTATCCTGCCCATGTACGAGGAGCTCAAAGAGTAAGTAGTAATAGTGACTTTTTATTTTAGTCTTAACATTTTTTTCTCATAAATATTATGTTCTGGAAAAAAAAAAATTTCTTATTTATTTTATTTATTTATTTTTTTTTTTACAGCCGTTCCCGTAAAAAGATGCAGAATGTGGCCAATGTCTCCTTCATGTCGATGTTCGTCATGTACCTTTTGGCTGCTCTTTTCGGATACCTCACTTTCAACAGTGAGTTTATTCAAATTTCTTAATATATTTTATTTTACCCTATTTATTTGGTACTCACTTAATGCCACGGCCCCAGAATTACAAAACAAACTTGCTTCACTGGCGTTGTGTTACATAATGAGATGGGAACGCTGCACCTGCTCTATAGAAATGACAGTTTCATGTTTGTGTGGTTCAGTAACGCAGGAGTGAACATTCTCAGAAACAAGTTATACAAGACGTAGATAAAGTGATTACAGATAGTTCCTAAAAAGAAAACACACAGCATGATGCGTGGACATTTTAGGTCTGCAGTTGATTATTTTAATGACACGTTTAGCCAAACAAAAGTTGAAATAAGGCCTAAACTAATAGTTACAAATAAAGTGCGTAAGAGATAAAAATCAGTAATTCCTTTTTTTTTTTCTTTGACAAAGCCATTTTAATGCATTTGTGTGTATAATTCATAATAAATCGTTTTTGGTTTTTTTTCCAGCTCACGTGGAGCCCGAGCTGCTGCATACTTACTCTAAGGCTTACAAGTTTGATGTGGTCCTGCTCATCGTGCGATTGGCCGTCCTCACCGCTGTGACACTCACTGTCCCCGTGGTGCTCTTCCCTGTAAGTAAACAACAATAGCAACATTAGCACACTCCTAACAACCACTGTTTCAAAATGTTAATAATGATGACAACTAATAAATGACCATTTCTTGTCTCTTCCCGCACAGATCCGTACCTCTGTGAACCAACTCATGTGCGCCTCCAAAGAGTTCAGCTGGGTGCGTCACACTATCATCACTTTTGTGCTTCTGGCTGGAACCAACGCCCTCGTCATCTTCGTGCCCACGATCAGAGACATCTTTGGGTTCATCGGTGAGTTTAGGAGAGCCACTAAATATAAACATTTCATAGATGGATAGATGGCATAAATATTAAAACAACACTATAAATTAACAACATATAAAAATAATTGTGTAGTGCTTATTTTGACTAATTTGAATTTGAATATGTTTAAATTTGACTGTTTGGAGGCACTGTGAGGTAGATGATAGACTCGTCAGGTGAAAAAGGAGGACGTGTTTGACTTGTGGCTAAACTCTCTTTTGTCTTCAGGTGCCTCTGCTGCTGCGATGCTCATCTTCATCCTGCCCTCTGCTTTCTACATCAAACTGGTCAAGAAAGAGTCCATGAAGTCTATGCAAAAGATGGGGGTAAGAAAACTCAATTCAAATATTAGACCACAAATAATTACCAACATTTAAATATTTTTAGTATAGATTTATTAACTAGACGAACTCGATGTTAATACTAAACATATTTATTTATATTTCCCTACAGGCTACTGCTTTCCTGATCCTTGGGTTCATAGTGATGATCGGCTGCATGACTCTTATTGTTCTCGACTGGACCACCAGCCCCACAGACATCCACGATGGGCACTAGATCGTCACTGTTTTCACCCCAAATGCTGCCTGTGCAAAAAGACTTGTGCACTGGACTGCTTTAAAAACTCCAAAACATTTTTCAAGAAACATTTTACTAAAGCAAGAAAACAACACTTTCAGCTCGGACAATGTGAGCCGCAAACCAATGCCATTCCCAGTGAATGTATCTGAACTTTGTATAGTTTTATCTTCATAGGCCACGTAAGCTGGCATTTTACTTGTTTTTACTTTAACTGTAATATATTTTTATGTCTTTTGCTTATTTTTATTCTTGCTTTTTGTAGTTGGGTACAAATGCATTTTTGAAGGTGCCTCGAATCTAAAATAATACTAGTTTAGCTCAGGTACATAGATGTATAATGCCTGCTAAACAAAAATCACTGTAGAACACTTTTTGAGGCGACAAACTTGAATTCTTAAAATAGTTTAATAATTTTCCCAACCATCCGAACTGGAATACTTGATTTTTTTCCGTTGATTCAAAAGTAATAACCAAAATTTTCTTAATTGTCGCAAACAGTAGATTTTAACAGCTTGAAAGTGCATTAAGTTAGGGTGACCATATTCCCAATAACAGTTTTATTTTTGTGATCTCAAATGACAAAATTTGGTCTTAACTACAAACTTGATTAGCCATTTAAAATAGCAATACCACCTGTGGTTTATTGTAATTATAATTTTTTACTAATTTTGTTTTGTACATAAAGAAATGTGTCATATTTTTTCATATTTGGGAGATATGGTCACCCTAGATTAAGTTCCTTCCAACTTCTTGCTTTTACTTTGCCAAAATGTTCATTGTAAAGCTTTTTTTTTTTTAAATCAAGAAGCACTTACAGCCTACAGCACATGCAAAATCAAAAACTTTCAGTATTGCCATGTACATTACACTGGGCTACTGTATTTAACCTTATAACCTGCTGAACACAATGTGTAGAGAAGAAATTACACTACTGTTTTAAACCTGGAGCCTGTTCTGGGCCTTTTTAAAGCTTTTTTTTTTTTTTTCATTATGGGAGAATTTATATGAATTTGACCACATGCAGTGGTTGTGATACCTGTTAAACTTGCAAAAAACAAAACATCTAAAACGTGAAGAGGCTCTTCATCGGCAAACACCAAAACCATGACGACCATAAGTGTTTTTGAAGTGTTCACCTGTTCCACAGCACAGATCTGTCAGCAAAGACCTTCAAACTTGACTTTTTGAGTTTTGAGCCCTGACACTGTGCTTCCAATGCGAACAAAGCACCATCTATTTATGACAGAAACAGTGAATCAATGTAATTTATACTATTTTACTATATTTATATAATATTGTAAGTGTATATATAAATGTACATATCTATATGGTCTTGTATATATATATGTTTTGTCTGGACTTTTTTACAAACGCATTGGAGTTGGATCAAAATACTGGTGAATTTGATACAATGTTGCTCCAATGCAGTTGAGTCTTAAAGTTGTTCATCTCATCAGACTGACTGAAATCCTGCTGTTACAAATACAGACACTTTGTTCCTTTTTGAGCCTGAAATCAAATGTTTTTGGTTCTTTACGCACATCACAGGACCTCAGGAGCAAAGAGGGCGTAGCCCGCCAGTGTTACACTTGTTTCAATGAAACACTTTGTATATTCTGTAATTATTAATGCCCAATAAACTGAAACAAAAGAAATATAAGTGGTTTGTGTTTGTGATAATAATCATAATCATAATAATGCATTAGTCTTATAACTCTTCCAAAGGTGCTCAAAGTCACTTTTCATGCAACCCGGTGGTGATGAGTTACTGTAGCCACAGCTGCCCCGGCAGATGAAATCTGCCATCGGCCCCTCTGACCTGCAGTCCAGCTTAGCTTCTAAGATAGGCACTGAAAAGTCAACAAGTCTCTACAATAGCAAAATGTACAGTGTCAGCAAGAACATAGCTGTAGTAAGTAATAGTAATGGAGGTTAAGAGGAAGGGTGGTAGGAGCAAAATGAAACACAGATTATTAATATAATTATAATTAATAATGCATTGCATACTACTAGTACTAATAAAAACAATAGTATAGTGCTTTTCACAACACTTAAAGACAGTTCACGCCAATTTGATACTGTGAAATAAAATAATTCCTAAGGCCTACTGTACAGGCCATATTAACATTTCGGCACCATTTTTAATCATTGCATGTGATAAAGATAACGGCCGCTAGAGGGAGACAGGGGTTATTGAAGAAGCTTACAGCTGTGTGGTCCATGGTGTGGTTTGAAACTGCTCTAGTTTGTTTGTAAAATGCTGCCTCCTTGTGGAAAGTACAGCAGTATTTCTGATCCCGCAAATGTGTCAATGGATGCAAACATTGAACTTACGATTGAAACTAGATAAATATTATATTGATCAATTAACTGATTAATTATAATTTGAGACAACTGCTATTAGTGATAGGTTGTTACTCAGAAGTACAATGTTATTCACATAGGTAAATTCATTTAGGTACAACTTATGAGACTTATTTAATGGTGTATAATGCAATTCTTCTGGTGGAGGGTCTGTTACCTGCATGGACATATTACTGTTATGCCTTTATTATTCCACAATATAGAAATAAACTTAGTAGTCAGATCTATGGAGGAGCACATGGTTCATGCTTTTTAAGGTATTTTTCAACTATAAAACACATGTAATTGTATAAATGCAAGGAAGATAAGCTTAAAGCCCTGCTATGGAACATTCCAGGCAAATAAATAACATCTGTTACAGTTTTAGGCTATTCCTCGCTTCGCTGGTCATGTCCTAAAATATATAATAGAGACACATCATGCGCAGGTCAGAAAGCACCTACTTTTATTCCACTACTCACTTTTATACTTTTCCAAATTCACACTTAAGCGACACATTCAGACACAAACAGGAAGTGGGCACGATCAGATGATCTCATCCCACCCCTGCGCCTTAATACACGCACGCTTCTGATTGGTTGATTGGCAGATTCACTTTGAGCATCAACCAATCAGGGCCCTGCAAAAATACAACTTTTAACAAGTTACAGCCCAAAACACACTTCTGGGCCACAAATTCTTAAAGGCAACACACTTTCTTTCAAACTAGGCTTTTCATTTTAAACAGTATCATTTAAAAAAGAACATAGATAAATTTTATAATCTTTCAGGTCTGATAATTACAATGTACCATTATCCAAGTTCATTTCAAATCGTCCAGTCCTTACAGCAGTCCAACATCTATGCAAAATAAAGGGCTCTTTGCAATACAATTTTGGGTTTTGATTCTAACAAAATATGACAAATCTATAGAAAAATCTTCATTTGATAAAAGGTAAAAACAAAAAGTGGCGCTCCGTTAGTTATTTGTAGATCGGGAGGCCTGTTTCCAGCTTGAAGAAATTGCACTTGAGAAGCTGAGAAGGGGAGGAGTCTGCGCTTCACTTTTTGCGAGCGTGTTTGTATTTGTCCACATACGCCTTTACCAGGTTCGCCACTTTACTGGAGTTCACCTCACCGCTTTTACTGTGGCACACCTGAGAGAGAAAGAGAGAGGGAAAAGATTTAAACTAAAAGATATGTGAATGTGCTGTGTTGTGCTATAGGCTGAAATATTAATAGAAATCAAATCTCGATTGCCATTTCATTGTTGGCAATAAAACGGTGAAGTCCTCATTTATGCAGGAGTGGTTCAATGCAGAGAAGATTTTCATCAGGGGTCACCTGGACTGTTTTTGTGATCAAGATCCTACTCTGAGTACCTAAATCTAACCCTGAAGGGAGGAGTTTTTGAGTCAAACTCTCAAACCCTCCTTGTTTACAGCTAACATCATTATACGTCTTCTTTCCTGGGCAGCAACCAGTGGTCATCAAACTTTTCAGTATTTGTTTTTGTAGAACCACCAGTTCTAATATCGAACTTTGACAGGCCTACATTTGTGCCAAACATGAGTCTAAAACAAGATTAAACCGTGAATAAGGTTAGTTCTGATTAATGATAAAACAAAACCAAAACAATGATAAATTACACCAGTTTAGGCAATGTTATCTGAGGTCAACAAAATATTTTGGTTACAAGCAGTTAACCTGTAGCTGTTCAGAAAAGCATATTAATGGTTCAGTCTGACTTAAATGTTAATCTTGGACGCATTAGAAGTGGATTTCTTGTCAGCAGAAAAATACAAAATACTTCTTTACCTATTTGATCCTCACTACCAGTTGTGAATTAGTGCTGGCTTAATGTGTGTTCAAAGTTTGTGATTCAAACCTTTTCTACAGCTTTGCGGACGATCTCCTTGTACTCCTCTTTAGTGATCTCTTTCTTTTGGTAATACGGTTTCATGGCATTTTTCACTTCGTTTATCGCTTGTTCTTGGATTTGTTGTTTCTGTGGAAAGAGAAAAGATGATGGGTATTCATTTAAAAAGTACAGGGGCATACAGATTACTAAAAGGGGTGCACAGTTAATCAAAATTGCAACTTGATGCAACTGCCAAATATAGAAAAATGTATGACTGTGGTTTACACCTCTACAAACATGTTCTGAAATGTATGGGATTCTTCTAATAATTTATTAGTTCACATTTCAGTGTTCTCTCAAATGTTACTGCTCCTTGAGTTTTTAAATGTATATCACAAACTGAAATACAATACTTCTCAAATTTTAGCAGCCCTATGAGACAATGCCATCTTCTTTTCAAAGGCAGTAGAGGCTCTGGTTCTCGACACATTATGTACTCATTATGCTCCTACAAGTTTTCCAGTGACCACCAGTGTAGCTCCTTCTACTGGTTTCCTTCTCACCTTCTCCTTCTTGGAGCTGTCGGGCTGGGCGCGGTTGTGCTGTGGTTGGGTGGTGGAGGAGGGCAGAGCCTGAGTCGACATGGGCACTGCCTGCGTCACTTTGATGGGAGTCGGGAACAGGGGCTTCACAAAACCTCCCATGTTACCGACCATCTGCAACAAAACAGCAAGTACCATATTCGATCATATCTCACTGATTGAACGATGGATTAAATGCAGCAAACATATAATGTTTAACGGTATCAGAAAAAATCCAACCACAAAAATATTGGCAAATAATCCTTGTACAAACTTTAAGGACTTTAAAACTACCATTTGCAATTAGACTAGCCGACTACTGATGGGAATAAATACACCAAAAGCCCCTATAAAATAAATAATAAATTCTAACCTGTGTGCTGTGTCCATCGGGCTGAGCAGCTGCTGTCTGACTGCCCTGCTGCATGGGTGGAGGAGGAGGAGGGGGAGGAGGCAGGCCCTGTGCTCCCACCGCGGGCACCTGCAGGAGGGGCACAGCTGTGTGGAGGTGCACTGGGACCTGAGAGGGGGGCAGGGCGTAGGGGGCGGCCGGCTGCAGAGACACGGAGACGGGGCCGCGGGCTCCGGGGAGGGTGGGGTAGTGATGGAGCAGCTGAGGGTGGGCAGACACTAGCACCGGGACAGGGGCGTTACCGGGGACGGTTTGCGCCGGAGGGTCCGATTTAGGAGGTTCTGAGGAATAGAAAGATTGAAAAAGAAATTGTAAATATACACAAGAATGAGAATTTTGAGAATTTGCCACAAAAAGTCAAACATTTTCTATTTAAAAGGTGCATTGAGCAACTTTTCTGGTGGGGAGCCATCACCTGCTTGTCTCCATTGAGATGTTGTTGCTTTGCCTGAAATGTTAAATGGTATGACAACTCTATCTAGCATTTAGTCATTATGGGTGTTTCTACTGCTCAAAAATACCATAATTCTCTTTGTGAAAAGGTCGCCTCTCCAATTTAATCTCTACTGTGGAGCATTCTAGACAAAGCAATAAGCACTGCATCTTTCATATAATAAACTTATTTTAATTAGTTATTTTCAGTTAAAAGATTGGTTGCGTGCCAAATTATCATGATAATTGCAGTATGCTACAATTGTGTTCAGAATCTGCTACTGACAAAGTACCACTACTGCAAATGTACATCTCATCTCTCGCAGCGTCTCACCTGCAGCGGGCGTGGTCTCCTCCTCCTGTCGATTCCACCCGCTTGGCCCTCCTCTCTCTCTTTTAGAGTAATAATCCTGGACATCGGCAGGGAGAGTCCTGCGTACAGCCCAGCTTGACGCGGAGGACCACCCAGAGCGGTCCATCGTCTCCCCGGAATCCATCTCTTTCCTCCTCCCTCCTCTGTTCTCGTTAAACCGACTGTACGCATCACTTCCTGCTGCACTTCCTGTCCCTGAGAAGTTGTTCCTTGGCTGCCACCTGTTCTCACTCTGCTCCTCTTGATTATAAAAACTCCTATTTCCAGACCCTCTTCCTCTGCCTCGGTCGAACCCTCCTCTTCCTCCTCTGCCCCTCCCTCTCGACGGCTCCTCCCATCTTGGAGCGCTACTGCTACTCATGCTGCTCCTCTGCTTCTCCACCCAGTCTGGATTAGAGTCTACCACATTTCTTTCAGGAGATTCGTCGTTTTGCAACCCGTTTTCAAATCTCCCCCCTCCGTACTTCCGCCCCTCTCCTCCAGACCTCCACCCCCCTCTGCGATCATTCGTTGGGGGCGACTCCTCTCTCCTCTCCTCCCTTCTTTCCTCCCTCCTCTCTTCTCTTCTCTCCTCCCTCTCTGGACTCCTGTCACTCCTTCGATAAGACCTATTTCTAGACCTTGATCTGCTTCTACTCCTTGACCTCCTCCTCCTCCTCTCTCTGCTCCTCTCTCTGCTTCGGTCTCTCTCTCGCCTGTGATAGTCCCCATCTCTCTCCCTCTCCCTGCTTCTCCGAGCAGAGCGACTGGGACTTCCATTGCGTTCTCTGGATCTTGATCTTTTGTCCCGTCTGGAATCTTTGGACTCTCTTTTGGGTGACCACGATGTAGTGGGCGAGTGAAATCGGGAGCGCCGTGGTCTGCTCCTCTCTGGACTTTTATCTCGATCTCTTTTTTCCTCGCTCGGCTTCTCCTCACTTTTTGGAGCCTCCTCTTTTGGCTTCTCCTCACTCGACTCTGAAACCTCCGGACATAAACCCTCTTTTTCCAGAGGTGTTGTACTTCCATGTTCGCTTAACGGAGAACCAAAATCCATCGGGATCTCGTTCAGGTCTTCGGTTAAATTTTTAGTGTCCTTTTCTGTATCCTTCTCCAGCTCTTTGTCCTCCCCATCGTGTGAAGCAGCATCTCCACTTTCAGACACTGCTTCTGATTGTCTTGGGGATTGACTTTGTAGTGAATCCTTACCCTCTTTCTCCTCTGTTTTAGGTTCATTCACTTCATCTTTTGTATCTTCTGTTTGTGCGAAAAGTTCAGTTTTGTCAACACTCTCTGCTCCTGTAGACGCTTTATCTTCATCGTCACTAATGTCCATTTCTTCTTGCTTTGGAGATTCTTGTTTTTCATCGTCAGACATCATCTCTTGTTCTTGTTCATGTTTTGGACTAGCGCTAGCCTCCTCTTCCTCCTCCGCTACTTTCTCCTCCTCCTCCTCCTCGTCCTCCTCCTCTTCCTCCTCCTCCTCTTTGACACTCTGGTTGTCCTCATTGGTTGAAGTTGGACTATTAGGAGCAGAATTTAAAGGAGACGATGGGACTTCCACCTTTTCTTCAGTGTCACTTTCATGTTTGTCCTGAGAATCACTGCTGTCCTGGCTCATGTCATTTTCTAGTGGTTTCTCCTGGTCATTTTCCTGATTAGAGTCGTTTTGATCGTTGTTTACGCTCTCCTCTGTGGTGACTTCTGGCTCTGAATCCTCGGCATCGTCTCCATTCTTCTCTTGGTCTTGTTTGGAGTTTGACGATTCCGGTTTCACGCTCTCTTCGTCATCTTTTGTGTTGTCGTTTTTAGTTGTGTCCTCTTCCTCCTCTTCGCTGCTGCTGATTACTTCTGCAGAGCGCTTTTTCCTCGCTGGAGCTTTCCTTTTGCCACTGGCTTTTCTGTTGGTTACCTGTGACAATAAAAAATTATACTGAAACTTTTTTTTTCCTTGTGTTCAGTTAATACATAATTCAGTCTGTATTATTATTGGTTTGTTACTGCTGTGACATTTGCCAAATATGAACTGTCCACGATGGTTAGAGAATTACATGAAATTCCTATCATGATTTGGTTGAAAAAGACATACTGTCATATATTGACAAATATTTTGTGTTTTAATAGTACTACATTGTAACATACGCAAATCATGAATGCACATTTTTTTTAGATCAATATTGATGTAAAAAGTCTTGCAAATAAAGAACTGCAGAACTGACAATACAGGATTACTGAATTGCGCATGAATAAATCAAAATGATAACATATAACCTTATAACATAATAAAAATTCAATGTAGGTCTTTAAAATGAATTATAGTATAAATAATTATAGTATAAAGTAACACAAAAGAAATCAAACAACTGGAAATAAACCAATAAGTTTATCAACAAATAAATAAAAAACTAAAATTATAATTAGCTGTAGCCATACAAGTAACAAAAATGTTCTCTCCTCACCTGTTTGCCTTTCCTCTTGCCTGCTGCCTGTGCCGCCCTGCCCGGTCTGGAGGGGGCACTGTGGGGAGTATCAGAGTCGGAGGCGCCTGAGGTCTGAGGGGTGGGAGGGTCAGAGAGGGGGGCCTCCTCCTGAGCTTTAGCCCCGCGGTTTGAGCGCTTGGCGGCGGGTTGTTTGGGTGCAGCTTTAGGTGCACGGCCCCCTTTCTTCTCTCCTCCTTTAGGACACGTGATCGCACAAACCACTCCCTCGAACACTAAAGAACAGAACAAGAAGTAATTCAAAATCCCAAAGTAAAAGCAACACTACATTTTTAAACAACTATACACACAAGTTATCAAAGACATAACCCTGGATATTTTAGATGCAGGTCAATACAATACAATACTTAATACAATAATACAGTATACATAACTGTATTGCTAAATTTCAGATGGAATCCAATTCTATAGGCCAATGACATTTAAAGCTCCTATATTGCGCAAAACAGACTCTTGTGAGGGCATGTTGTAATTAGGGGTGTCAAATTATCGCGTTAATTGCGATTAATTAATTACAGTCATATTTAGCGCGTTATGTTTTTTAATCGCGTTAATCTCATTTTTAATCTCTAACTTTACTGTTTCTGTACTTTATTATAAAACCTGTTTTTATGTGATGTTGGGACAACAACACACACACAAAAAAAACACATTTATACATTTTTTTATTTCGGTAATTCCACTCATTGCCGGAAACCCGCACAAAACGCGCGCAGTAAGAGCGATGTAAACGTCATGTTAACGTTGGCGGCATCAGTCGCACAATGGACGAGGTTGAAGAGCCAGTAGAACAGAGGCAGCAGTGCACAGGTAAAAACACATTTGTGTCTTGGAAATTATTCTCCCAACGTGAAATATAAAAGAAAATAACAAATATAAAATCGCCTACAACTTAAATGTCACTGGTGAAAACAACCTGCATAGACTCATGATGTCTGCACTACTGTCCTATAGTGACCTGCCACATGAGAGGACACGCACACAAACACACACAAACACACACAAACACAAACAAACACACACACCTTCATCATCGTCATTAACCTGAGAACGCGTGGACCACGTTTCCTTCCGAAAACATTGTGCGGACACCGTCGTCCTCCCGTGAGCCGCATGTGGATCGTGTTTTCTCGCGTACGCTGCGTAAACCGCGCTTCCTCCTGTGCGCCTCTAAACCAGAACTAACACCAAGACTAAAACCAGGACTAATCCAGTCCAGGACTAAACCAGGACTAAACCAGGTCTAAACCAGAACTAAAACCAGAACTAAAGCCAGAACTTAAACCAGGTCTAAACCAGGACTAAACCAGAACTAAACCAGAACTAAAACCAGGTCTAAACCAGGACTAAACCAGAACTAAAACCAGGTCTAAACCAGGACTAAACCAGAACTAACACCAGGACTAAAACCAGGATTAATCCATTCCAGGACTAAACTAGGACTAAACTAGGACTAAAGCAGGTCTAAACCAGGACCAAAACAAGGACTAAAACCAGTGATCTCATATATAAAACATTTCTCTATCAATAATATTTTTAATATGGTTTAAGGAAAGACTGGACTTTTTATTGTCTTTAAGTAGACAAAAGTTATTATGTTCAGATTTCCTCATCTTTGCTACTTTACAGCAAACAGTTTCTTATTCATGGAGACTTGGGCTCAACAGCCAATTTGGAGAGATTTGTTAAACAATAAATGACTTTATAAAGTCACTTTTTTTTGTTCTATATCAGTCTTTTGATCTGCCACAATAATGTAATAATGAATTTAAATGAAAATACCTCAAATTGAAGGCTTTTCTCAGCAATTTTTAGGTGAGATTAAAATGAGATTAATTAGATTAATTAATTACAGATCATAATTAATTAATCTCTCAATTTTTTTAATCGCATGACAGCACTAGTTGTAATGTTATTGCTTCATGTCATTGCTGTCTACATCTCCAAAGATCAAAATGCTCTGTCCTACCTTGTGAGGTTTTGTAGTAGTTTTCAAGTTAACAGCTACAATTTACCTTTAGTTCAGTAAAGACTGACAATTCCAGGGTAGGCTTTATCCAAATTACTCTAATGAAAGTGTATAGAGTTAAAAAAAAAAACAGCGGAGCACTTCCTGTATTACCACATGTTATCACAAGTGGAACAGAGTGTTTTCAGTTTCAGAGAAGAACTCTAAATGTGTGAATCAAACAAAATACAATTCCAGACATATCTGTGATGAAGAAACAACATTATACCATAGATCAGAAAATAGCATAATATGGACCCAAAATGAATTCTTCTATAGAGCACAATGCATTTTCTGTGAAATCAAAAGGCCTGTGTCTGGCTGACAGGACATCGACAGCTTTCATAAAGGTCAGATTTTGGAGGGATTCTTCTGTATTTTCATAATAAGAATTTTTAATCATTTTTAAATAGTCACCACACCTAAAATTTACCTTTGTAAGATTTTGACTAGCCCCGTATCGAGTCTGCACTAGCTCCACTTTAGCAGCTAGAGCTCTGATTGATCAGAACAGCACATTTCTGACGTCACGTTTTGTGGCGTGAGACCAGTATTCAGGAAGTTTTGTTTTTTTTTTACACAGCCCATTGAAAACAATACAGTGCCATGTTGGATTCATATTCCAGATCTTATAATACTTCCATGCATTCTAACACATCTGCATATTAAGCCTGAGTTCTTCTTTAAACAGAAAACACTTGTGATGTCATGTGCTAATACAGGAAGTGCTCCATTGTGTTTTTAAACTTTGGAGATTTAGAAAGACTAATAAAAGGATTACTCCAACATGTGTGAATGAAACAAAACACAATCCAGGTATGTTTTTGACGAGGAACAGCATTCTAACATGGCTCAAAGCTCACAAGAGTCAAGTTTGCATTCAAATATATTATTATAGTCCACCTAATTCACTTTAGTAAGTACTAAGTCTCACCAAAATGACTTGAACCGGACACTGGCGACGAAGAAAAAGGAGAGGAACCAAGCGCAAAAGGGAACACACCAGTGTTTCTGATGGAGGGGTGGAAGCTCTCTGTTAAAGACAAAAGAGCCAAATGTGAGGAATAAAAGGTAAAATCAATTGATACTTTGCAGCTGAGGTCATCACGATTTTCTGGGGTTGTGAAGCTAACAGTAGGGTCTGCTCTGTCTGAACTCCAATAACTCAAGTTAGTCTTTTATCTGAGTTTTGTTTTAACACAATCTGACCAGGAAGAACTGATTTAGCTGAAACTACAACAGGTGAGTTGATTTGTGCCATTTTTGTGGAAAATCAAACACCTAAGCAGAACCATGAACACTCGTATTGATCACAGGCTCTTGAAAGTGTGCCATTTAAATTCATTTAGTATCTTTTCTTGAATTTTCAGACTATTTTTCCACTTATTTGGCAGTGTAGGTTAATGTGTGCCCTGTGTCTCCATAGTAACATACTGGCATAACACCCCCACTGCAAAGTATTAATAGTTCATCAGTCCATTTGTATTGGAGCTGTACCTCGTGGTGCCATTGCCGGTGGAGACGGGAGCAGCCGGAGAGAACCACACACAGCTCTGAGGTTTACAGCGCTCAACTGTGTGACCGAGCATCACATCCTCATCATCCACAGACTGTGCACTGTGCAAAAACAACTAAGGATTATTGATCTATTCAAATACAGATACACTTTAAATACACTATGTAGTATCAGTCTGATGTGTGTATAAATCTCATTTGATAATCTTACATTTCATGCGTTGTTGTGGTCAGTGAAACAAAAGCAGGAGGCGACCAGCTACAAGACTCCGCCCCCCGAACCTAAAGCACAAAAAACAAACAGTGAAGTCAGTGCGGCGTCAAAAATTTCCAGTCTTTGATTTCAGTAAGACAAACCTTTTTTCTGGTCAGAGATGAAGGATCCTCATCATTGCCTATAAAAAAGGGAAACAATATTATGTGATAAGTTTAACTAACTAGCAAAAAAAAAGAAGCAATTTAATGCTGCAAAAAGTTACATTTTCTGACGAGCCCTTTGGATTTGCCATCAACTGTCCTCTCCACCTTCTTCTGTCTCAAAGCTCTCTTACTGCTACAAAACAATATATAAGCATTATAACATGATTTTGTAGTATATTGCATTACAAACAGCACAATATGAAGGTATCTGTTTAAATAATTTTCATTTTACTATGAAAAATATTACAGTTAAATAGATATAGATATAATGACATACTTAAGACCAGTTTTATATTGGGAGTTTCTTCTGCAGTAGCTCTCCACTTCAGGCTGAGCAGCCCTCCTCCTCACAGGAACCTGAGAGCAAAATACATTTAGTTAGAAACATCTTTGTAAAGCTGGTGCATTTGTTTCCAGGCCAAAATCAAAACAAAGTCTGACCACAATTAGAAAAGCTTTTAAATTTTGGATATCATGCATAAAATATATGTATAAACAAAGGAAAATAAACATGTGTGTGGGGTCATTTAAGTTGGATTAGACTATAAATGCAGACTCTTCACAAAATTACAATGAAAAGACAAAAACAAATGTAATCATAAAATGTAATAGTTTGACATAAACAAAGTACAATGTAATCCAAGGAACCATCTAAATAAAATGTAGACACTGTAGGCCGTGTCTACAGTCTGATATGAAAAGGTGAAACTGACCTGAACACAGCTGAGGTGTCCGTCCCATCTGTAAACATTGGTGAACGGTCTTCTGTCAACAGGACACGAAGGAGACGCCTGCAACTGGAATTCAAATTTAATGGTCAAAATCAAACATTTGTCACATTGTTTATTTAATCGAGATTTGTTGGAGAGTTTAGCACAGAGAAGATTGCATTAATGTTTCACTCAATGGTTTATGCAGCATTTTACTATCTCAGGAGGAGCATTGTAATCTGTTAACTGTTTCAACTGCTGCAAGGTTTTTAAATGATATCATACTGGAGTCATTAAGCTACTGCGTGGTTCAGTTGTAGGTTTGTAGAATGTCTAAGAAAAGAGAAGAGTTAATCATGTACTTTAGAAAGTAGAAATTAAGGTGTTATAAGTTGGAAGTCACAGAACAGTACCAATGTTTTATATTGGAACTAAGGTTTGGGAAAACATAAAAAATACTACCACAATATCTTGATTTCCAGTAGTGGAGGCCGTGAGATTATGATTATGTTCACATCTTTATTTAATTAAGAAGGTAAATTATGTAAAATAACTCAATATAAAACTAAAATAAACACAGTTAAATTTGATTTAAAATGTTTTGCAACTTCAAAATGACAGATATAATTTTTATTTTACAGTGGGGGTCCCGGTTGGTTCGGTTGAATGGTTACGTTGGGAGGGTCCTGGTCTGAAAAGTTTAAATCCCTGTCAGGTACACTTCATATTACTTTTAAAATACAACTAAAGAAAAATACGTTCTCTGACAGTTCCCTACTTTGATAATGTGATTGGTGTAAATGTAACTCACTCAGATCACCATTTCATTTTTGCATTTCTTTATCACCCACACTTAAAAGCTATAGTGTAGCCTCACCTCAGCCCACGTGAGGAGGCAGCGTAGGCAGAAGACGTGGCAGCAACTGTCGGGCATCGCCAGCTCTGCCCCCGACAGAGCGCTGAGGCAGATTGGACACTTCTCAGCCTCCTCAGGATCTGTCCCATCCGGAGGGCCCTGACCACCACCACCACCACCACCTGCCCAGAAACAATCAGATTAAAGCTTCACTCTGGACTTTTGACAGACACCTAACTCAGATTATTGTGCTTTTGGTGACAAATAACACCAGTGTCACCAAATTTAGCACTTGATTTTACTAAGTTTATGAAGGAAAATGCAGAATACCACCAATGATTTTTGACAATCCTACCTACAAGACCTTTTAGATTTTTTTATTAAATGTTAAAAAAGGTCATCACAAATATTAATATGACAACAATTATTACAATTAAAAAGTTTTAGTATAACTTCGAAAGCATTTCTGCAAGAGTGACAATTCTGACAATTCAATAGTGATGGCAAAGTTTAAAATATGGTGAGGATACAAATTAATATATGTTTAATTATAACATGTCTAATTTGCCCAAAATTCTGAGAAAAAAATGTCTCACCAGTTCCAGCTCCAGTCATGTCTGGCCCTGTTCTCCCAAGAACTGCTCAACAGAAACATGAGGTATGTTAGGAAATGACTGAAAATCAGTTCTCTGATCTAAAATGATCAGTGTGCTGCTATAAAATTTACTTGACAATGGGGTACAAAACAACTAACAGCTTTCAGACCAATAAAACAGTTAACCATAGAACTTGGATGCATATTTAAGTAGGAGTTTATATTTTTGCTTTTTCTATGTTTTGTTTTTTATATAACAATATACAAGACAGACACAATTAACTTCAATACGCAGATGTTAAAGCCACAGTCTGTAACTTTTTTGCCAAAAAAATAGAAGCATTATGGATGTGTTTATTGCACCAGTGAACAAAAAAGAACACAGATCCTTACTCAAACTCTTCCTTACGATACTCTTTGCATTTCCATAAACCTGACTCTTATTCGGCCTGGCGAAGTGCCTCCACCTGGTTGTTTCCATGGAAATGTTATTCCTTAGGCTACAATATTCCACAGTATGGCATAAAACTCCATGGAGAATGCCCTAAATTATGGTTTTAACTTTCTATTTCCATGGAAGCGTGCAGTTGACTTTTCACCTCTACAAACGTACATACTATCACTTCCCAATACAATGGTTCCCAATAGAATATATTTGTCTCATTCAAAGAAGTTATCATTGATTAACTGTGATTAGGTTATGTCTTTAGTGCAATAAAAGGAAATAAAACCAACTAGAATAATACATTTAATCCATAACAGAATCCATATAAGTTTATAATAACAACGTCCAAATGATCATACGTGGCAGTGGACAAACACTGAAAACAAAACGTACATTTTTTTCCGTACATAAATAATAGTGAAAGGTAAAACTGAAAATTTTTGTTTTTCTTCTTTACAAACCCAGTAGCACTTACAGACCATAAAACCTACGTGATTCACCAACACACACAAACAAACGAGGATTAGTGGCCCGCGGGTTTGAGCCTGACTTTACCCGGTTCAGGATCTATATTTCTCCGCTTTGGCACAGTTACATGGGGTTAAAAAGTCCAAGTTAAGACCGGTGAAGGGTTAGGGTTAAGATTACCTTTCTGTGATTTGTAAACACTTTCTGATATAAACCGAAACCGGCGCGTGTGATTATCAATGGCCATTAACTCAAGTGTCTTTGAGCTCTGACAATAGTTCAATGGATTCTTGGGAAAGTAACAACATTCAACAGGACTGGTACAGATGCATTGCTCTAAGGTGCACTCGGTCCAAGTGTAAACAACCTCAGTGCGGCTACAGCTGCGGATATAATCAGGTTTAGCACAGTTAGATTCGGCCTGGAGACTGGCATCAGAAAATAGCAGCAGATAGTGCCAACGCGACGGTGTCAACATGGGTGATTGTGCTTTAGTTAGCCGTCAAAGCTATTGCTAAAAGCCTGCTACAATCTGGCTAAATGGTCGTTGCTAGCTCGGCAGTAAACAAGGCTAAATAGTGTCTAATATTAGCCACAGTTTATGCACTGAAGGTCATAAGGCAGCTAACGTGCTAACAGCAGATTTAGCCCAGAGCTAACACCTGCCTGCGTCGCTTTTAGCTTTAGCATGTTGGCCTTTTAGCATTTACTTAGCATTTAGCGCTAGTTAGCTTCAATGAACTAATTTTTACTCACCTCAGGTATTCGCTACGACTGCTTTGCACAATCAAAACAGCGCTTAAAACCCAGAATCTCCTTATGAAATCCCACCGACTCTAAAAAGTAAATATATTTGTCTAAAAACGGATCGTAGCTTTGAAAAAGTCCGAGCCACATGTCTCGCAGTGAAACTGAGAGTCGATGGAAGTGGCGCCGCGTACTGGTGTCACACGGTATTACAGTGAAAGGCCGTCAGTGGATTTTACAGGCTTCTGGTTCATCTCCCTTCATGTTTTACTAAAAGATCATTTAATTCAGCAAATCTGTTGTTGCTATGTAATTTTTATTCTAAATTATTTGACCTAAAAATCAAGTGTAAGTAAAAGCAAGAGCATCAAAAGAAATTCAATAACAGATTTTTTAGTTTTACAAAAAAGGAAATGAAAGAAAATTCAACCAAATCGCTCTCAAATTTGCCTGATTTGCCTGTTTTTTCTCATGTTGTGCACAATAAGAATGCCTCTTTATTTTGCTCAAACTATTCCAAACTACAAATCTACAAACAACACTGGTATGTATAAGTAATTTGTGAATAGGCGAAGGATTCATCAACGTACAAGTCTTGCCCAACAATCCAAGTACAATATTCTTCAAAATCGTCCATCATAAAGCTTTCTTTGTGGGTACTTTTCAAAAGGTCAAGACATTAAATGTTTTTGCCCAGTATATTCTCAGTAAGTTTTCCCGTTATTCAAAAAACAATGTATGAGTAAATTTTTTTCAGGGTTAATGTTCACTGTGCAAGAAATGTGTGCAAGTATGAGACTGATAACCCATGGCTAAATAACTGGATGCATGAACCAGACCAAAATGTTCAGTGTTTTATTTAAAAACTATAAACAGTCACCAAAGTAAATAAAGCCAATCTCTAACAGACTGTTAGGTCTATAGTCACACATCCTACGGACACTGCAGATCTGGGGGAGTGGCCTGAGTCGGCGCAAACGGGAGGCAGTCAATTTAATGTTACACAACACACCGTAAGAAGGACAGAGTTCCAGGTACAGGAATGTGGCAATGACTTAAGAATGAAAAAATAGTACAATAAAACTCCACACTAAATTAGGATAGAAAAACGCTGTGAAGAAAAGATCATACCTGCTGCACGTAAAGCAAAAGGAACAAGGGAGAAGTCCTGTATAAAAATCCATGTATTTAAACCAATTGTACAAATACAAAAAAACTCGCTTGGTACGTGCGCCCTTGCCCGTACTATGACAAACACGTATACAGTGGGTATATGTTAAATCGTGTGCGTGTTGAAATCTTGGGAAGGAGAGTGGAGGAAGTCAAGGGGGCAAGGAGGATACTTTTGATATTTTTTTTCTTCTACAAAATGACAAGATATATTATACTCTTTCAGCCAGCAAAATGAGTCTACAAGTTATTATTATTATACAAAAGAGTCACAGTTCCACAAAAAACTGCTTTTTAATCCCCGCCCTAAGTTTTACAGCAAACAGTACCTTTGCAAGAAGTATTTACATGTATTAAGTACATTCATCCACTGCTGAGTATAGAATCACATTAGATACAAGTGACCAGGGATCTTTAAAAAACGCAAAACAAACAAAATAACTATTCGATCCTACCAAAAGTAATGCTTCTATGACTCCACAGCGCTCTCCAGTGGCTGCTCCATCGGGTGTGAAAGAGGATTTTTCTTTATATATATTCACATCATATTTACAAGAATCTTTTTATTAATTGTAATGGTATTTATTTCAATAATAAATAAGTGAAAATATATGACTCAAGTAAGAAAAACCAAGCTACCAAATTTCTAAAGAAAAACAACAAAAGAACAAATATTTGTAGTCCGTGTCACCAGTCGCCAAATGATCGCCGCACCTCTGAAAGTGTCCCGCTTCAGTCAAAATTCATACGTGTCCAATTTGGTACAAAAATTAAACCAAAATGTGCTCGCATTTCTTCTGGGGTTTTGTCGATATGGGGGGGAGGGTCCCTCAGGGAAGCAGTCCGAGTAGAGCTCCCCCTTGTGGGCGGCTGGTGGAAGACCCCGTGGCAGTTTGTTTGTTAGTGAAAAAATGGTTTTGGAAATCGTTGGCAAAAAGAGGAGTCTATGTTGAGTTTGTAGAGGTTGGGACAGTAGAGGTGGGTGTCAGGTCCCGTTTACCTCACCCCAAAACGACCGCTTGTCCCGGGCAAGAGAGGGGCGTAGGAGGAGCGGGTCTGTCCTTTAGGGTTACACCTGGGTCTGTGTCTGCAGTGAACGCGTCAGTTCATAAAGGCATTTGGCGAGCGTGGTAGAGACCTCCATGTTACTTAGTGCAAGCACCGAAAGGTGAGTCTCGTGCTTTTTTACCAACCTGGAAAATAAACACAAAAATCATTAAATACAAACTGCAAGGTTGAACAGTGATGTGGTTAAATTAATTAAATTCAAAAGCTCAAAATATTTTACTGAGAGACAAAAACACTTAACTGTTTTGCCACTGTGTGCCACCTACTGAAATGTTTTTTCATATATGAATGTCAAAATCCATGTAGATTAAGTTGGTGGCACACGTTAATGCAACTGACATGAAAGAAACATGTTACATACTTTAAGGTCACGAAGTGCAATTCAACATCCAATAGAAGAAAAATAAATAGTGGTTGAATAAAAAGTCATGTCTAGTGCTCTGTGCTGACCCGGTCAGGTTGCCCTCAACAAGAAAATGTATGAAATTACGTCACAGCAGCACAAAACCAGGCCTGGAAAGAGGCACTTGGTGTATCTGTAGCCAATCACATCAACCTGGCGCAATCAGGTTTATAAAAGCAGATGCAGTCCAATGTTCTACAAGGACCTCTGGTAACCCCTCTATTTTCAATGTGCAGGCTGTTTACCTGCAGTCCTGTGTGTGTATGCAAGACGAGCTTTAAGTATTCTGATTAAAAAGTAACAGCTAATTTCAACAGAAGGATAAAGCGTCAGACCAAATCTAGATTGAAGAGAATGATTTACAAAATATACCACAAGGGTATTGTGTGTCATACATTACTTTGAATTACAATACAAGTAGGGGTGTGCATATCGTATCGTTTAATATGATAATACAGTGTTGATATCATAGGCTGATATATCGATATCTCGCCAAGAGTATTTTTTGGTATATTTTACTAAATTATTTTGTTACAGCGCTACAGTTTTGTTGCTTGTTTAGAGGAAGGAAACTCATTTATGAGACACATTTGACATTTTTGCTGTTTTGATGATCAAAATGTGTGCGTTTCATTT